TTTTAATTTCCCCCAGGGTTCAGGGTTTAGGGTGTAGGGTTGGGGCCCCCGAAATCACCCTGAACCCTAAACCCTCCCCATTAATTACAACATGTTTGAGATTTTCAGGATGAAAGGTTCCCACCATCCTCAACCCTAAGCCCTAAACTGCGTCCGTAGAAGGGATCCCAAACTTTCGGAATCCCTACGCCCTATATGAGCTATAGTCTACACCCCTAAAAGGGGGGTTATATAGGGATCATATAGGGGACTACTGCAGGGCTGATTAAGGGGGATCCTAGGAGTTTAGACTATAGCTGTCCTCCTATATTCCTACATAGCCCCTTCTTATCCTGGAAAAGGGCCCCGAATACAAATTCGCAGGCAGACAAGAAATCAGATAAACAAATGGACAAACGACAATACACAGGTAAATACATAGAACATAGAAGTATATACACAAGCAGAAACAAATCTCTCTACGTTTGTTATATATATATATATATGTATAAATGTTAGCACATGAAGGTTCACATCTCAGGTCGCGTGGCAGTTGCGAAGGCAGCGAAGGGCCCGGCAATTGCAGCAGGTGCTCGCACCTTGGCGCAAGTTAAGGGTGCTTTAAGGGGTTCCGTGGGGATTCCATGGGGTTCTTTAAGGGCTTTACCCTACACCCTAAACCTTGCATGGTGTAGGGTTATATGGGGCTGTGAAGGCTTACATAGGATTTTTACGGGTTCCATAGGGGTTGTATAGGGATAGATAGGGTGTAGGTTTTATGGCTGTGTAAGGTCTATGGAAGACACAGATTGGGTTTAGGGGTTATGTGGAGGTGCTATAGGAATTGAAAGCATGCAAGTGTATATGTACGTGCCGATTTAGGGTTTAGCGTTCAGATCTTATATTTATAGTAGTTTCCACTTTCTTTTCCATTATCCCAATCTTACCCCAAATTACTATGGTAGTTTCCATTTTCTTTTCCATTCTCCCAATCTTACCCAAATTACTATTTTAGTTTCCATTTCCTTTTCCATTATCACAGTCTTAAACCCAATTGTGATAGTAGTTTCCATTTTCTTTTCCATTATCCCAATCTTACCCCAAATTACTATGGTAGTTTCCATTTCCTTTTCCATTATCACAGTCTTAAACCCAATTGTGATAGTAGTTTCCATTTTCTTTTCCGTTATCCCAATCTTGCCCCAAATTACCATAGTAGTTTCCATTTCCTTTTCCGTTATCCCAATCTTACCCAAATTACTATAGTAGTTTCCATTTCCTTTTCCATTATCCCCACCCTTAACCCTAAACCCTAAACCCCTAAACCCCTTAACCCTACGATGAACCGAATTTAGGTTCACCTCAAAGGAGCATGTAGGTATTATGTAGGGGTTCATAGGATGTAGGGTTTAGGGTTTAGGGGGTTTAGGGTTTAGGGTAGAATCGCACATGAGTACAAGGGCGGAAATTCAATCAGTGCATGACATGGCGGCTGGGTCTGTGTGGTGGGCTTAGCCTCCCTGAGACTGATCCGTGGGCCCTATGGGTTAAGGGTTTAGGTGCGACTGGCGGTTTTACCGGGATATATCCGCATTTCTAAGGTTGTGTGTGTTTGTAGAGTGTCTTTACCTTTTTGTTGGCTTGAAGTTCTGGTGTAGGGTTGAGGTGAGATGCTACATCAAAGGGGCATACATGACTCTGTATGAAATTGCTGTGCCTTGACGCCGGACGCTCCAGCCCATACACGGAGGCTGAGGGGGTATGCAGGAAGTAATAAGAGATTGTCAGCCTGTTAAAATGCCAAGCATTTAAGTCGTGCTTGTTTAATGACGCTAGCGATTGCTGAGGCTTGACTTTCAGGAGTTCGGGAGCATTGCCTCTGCGCGTATGAAATCCTGACCTGGTTCGCATCCAGGTCGTTGCAGGGAACCTTAAAGGGCCCCACAAAGACTGCTTGGAGAGTCAGGGTGACTTAGCAAGTAGATTAATAACCCCTATAGTAGGCCGAATTATCCTAATAACCTACTTACTAAGTCCCCATGACCCTCCAAGTGGCTTCTGGGGTTCCGTGCCTGCTTACGGGAGGAGAACCCCGTCCTCCGCAGTCTCCGGAAAGCCCTAAACCCCTTTGATCTGAGCGAGACGTCATTCTCTAGGGTTCCATGTTAGTTTGAGGGCTCCTAAACTTTGACCACTTAACGCCATAAACTAAATACTAAATCCTAACCCCTGCACGCTAAGCCCTCATGAAAAGACGCTAAACCTACCCAGCCGCGCTTCGTTGATCTGAGGATGCTATTGATGCAATCAACTCCCAGGATCCTCGCGAGGATGAGCATCTCATCGCAACATTTCGTTTTCGGAAGGGGCCGGGTATCTCATGAACCCTATACCCTAAACCCTACAAAGCCCCAAATAGTAGTTTCCATTTCCTTTGCCATGATCCCAATATATCCCTGGTACACCTCCCTTTCAGGGGGTTTTGGAGTATATGACTCAGGCCGCCCCGTGCAAATGCTTAGGTGTTGGCAGCTGCTAGCATACAGGCTTACAGATGCCCACATTGGTAATCAAGGGTTACATTGTAGCATCAAGACTAGCATCTTGTGGAGTTTGTTCAGATATCCCCTACACTATTTGGTGTGGTGGGCGTTCTTCTTCCTAGAACTGTCAGCATGTTTTTTGCTGAGGGCGTGAAGATCTTTCAGTCCACCCCTGTGGTGTGGATCCTTGTCTTCCTTACTGTCAGCATTGTTTTGTTGAGGTTCATTCACTCCGACTGTGATGTGGGTGCTCCTATTACTTTGAGACTGAGAACTGTCATGATTGACTTCTTGAAGTCATACTGATTTTTCTTCTCCCCCGTGCTGTGGGTTGTTTCCTCCAGTACAACTGTCAGCATGAACGAAGCTGATGGTACCCCTGCACCATCAAGACCTGAATGTCGCGGAGGCTTTTATATCTTTCGCTGCACCCATGGTTTACAACTGTCAGCATTCTTGTGATTTACCACTACCCTCCAGTGTCAAGCCTTGAATTTTAGAGGTTGTTCAATGTTTCCTTTAGAAGTTTCCTCTCTTTCCCCTTTCGTATGGGTTGACTTTTTCTCCAGCCCGTCTACTGGGCTTGGCATACATGGTGATAAAGTACGATGTGATAAGTGTCAGCCTTATTCAGACGGGTCTGGCGCTCTTGGTGTAAGTTGTACTGACATGGAAGTGGTTGAAGCCTGTAGCAATTCAGCATTGATCCCCTGTGGTGTGGGTGTGATTGCCCTGTCTCTCTCTGCCGCTCCCCGGTGGCTTGGGTGGTGAGCGACATGCACAATTCTTATTGCTGCTGGCACTTTCGGGATCTGCGGCCAGAAAAAAGGTAGCCCTGTGATGGTTGGCATTCTTGCGCGACATCAATAACGAAGAGGGCTGCAAGGATTGTGGCCAGGACTCCATGAAAATGTTGGCACTTTTGAGATTTGCCACAAGACGATGACAGTTTCGAGACTGGGGAGTGGGGCGGGGGGCCCGAACTGGCCTCATACAAAAGCCTGTAGGGTTAAGGGCTTGAGGTTTAGGGCTTAGGGTCGAGGGTTCTACATCATCCCCAACCTTCGATGCTCTGATGTAATACTTATTGTATTTCGGTATTTGGTTGCTTTGAAAGGGATGCTTTGCTGGCGAGAGTATTTTTCAGCGGCCTAATGTAAGCACTTATCTCACATGCTCGGCCCCTGCAGCCGTGGAATAGAAGTTCACGAGCGACCGCAAGTAGTTCTAATGGAGCTAGTTGTAGCCGGAAATACGTTAGGGTCACACTGGAAGTTGTAGAGTAAAGAGGAAGTACGACAACTATCACCTGATGAGTCTTGCATTACGCAAACTACAACAAACGGAACAATAAGTAACAATTAGCTGCTGCTGCTCCTCTTGCTGTGTACTGCAACGACGACCACTATCACTCCCACTACCACCACCATAACCACAACCTCTACAACTCCTCTACCGCTACCTTAACCTCTACCAGTACCACTGCCACTACTGGTACAAGTTTCAGCAGCAGTAGCAGCACCACTGCTGTCGCCACCACTGCCGCAGCCGCCGCCACCGCCACCACCGCCGCCACCGCCACCACCGCCACCACCGCTACTACAGGTACTACAGGTACTACTACCACCACTACTAATACTACAAAGAATACTGAAGACAGCTAGTAGCCCTAACTTCAACAGCCTGAGCGTTCTTGACACCTTCTTGCAATTGCTATTCTATTCCCTTTGTTCAGCATGGGGGGTTTCTGAAGATCTGGGGTTCTGTGTGTTACCGCTATGACCTTCATTGCTATGAGCAGCAAGTGGGCTATGGGAGTTTCTCAAGAATCAATCCAGATCTTAAGTCCCAATATCCGCTTCCCAATAATCCTGGATATATCTGTTGCCAACAGATCCTTGCCTAAACCCCATAAACCCCATAAACCCCATAAACCCCTAAACCCCTAAACCCCTAAAAGCCTAAACCCCTAAACCCTAATTCCCATGTTTGCATTCAACATTTGAGCTATGGTCTAAACTCCTTAAAGGGTGCTTTATAGGGATTATATAGGAGGCTACTCTAGGGGTTATTAAGGGGGATACTAGGAGTTTGGACTATAACCCCTACAATCCCCTATATAATCCAGTTTCCATTTCATTTTCGATTTTCTTTTCCATTTGATTCTCCATTATTAAGGGGATACTAGGAGTTTAGACTTAGTTTGAGGAACCACACCGTGAGCTGTAGGTAACTCTTCTACGGAAAGCAACAGCAACACACCCATGATATCCACCCACACCACTGGGTAGGCCCCTGGGATAGTTAACATTTTCCCTAATGGCTTTAATAAGGGACCCTGTATATTAACATTTTTCAAAAGGTTTTAGGGGCCAACCCAGACCATAGACCCTAAACCTTAAACCTGTATAAACCCATTATAGTAGCTTCCATTTTCTTTTCCATTATCCAAGTATAACCCCAATCCCTGTCCTGCAGACGGTTCAGTTGGGTAAGATGCTGGCTGGCAGAAGCCGGCACGCAGCTGCGGCTTGTGCTACCTCTGGCAACAGGCCAGGCAAGAAATTCCAACCAGATCCAGGTCAATACTCGTCAGATGGGGACATACGGTTTAGGGTTTGGGGTTTGGTCTAGGGTCTAGAGTTTAGGGTCGAGGGCTTAGGGTTTGGTTTAGGGTTTGAGTTTATGGTGGACCTACATTAGACCCATATAACCCCATTACCCTCAGACAGGCATTCCATGAGCCATTGATGGGGGCCACCCACTGGTCAACTGCTCACCCGGAACTGCTCTGAAAAGAGCAGGTACATATGTTCTTCCCCAAACTAGGGATACCTTTCTAGGGGATAATGACGATGATAGTCTTTTGGGGTCTTTAAGAACGTGCCCGTATTTAGGGAAACTGCCAAATGGACAACAGAATATTTAGCAGCTGTGCTACTGGTGGGGCCACAGCATTTGCACGATGCAGTAGGCATTACATTCCTCGGTCATGTCATTTCTGGTTCTTGGATTTGAGAAGCTGGCTGGAGGCATGCCATCTGCGCAGCTGTTCATAACAGACAGTTCAAAGGAACCCTAAAACCCTAAACCCTAAACCCTAAACCCCCAAGATCATCATGGCTGAGCTTTATATGTCTCACCAGATGAGCCATCTCTAACTTGGCTTCAACACAGCAAGGGGATTGAACCCTAAACCCTATATAAACCCTAAACCATCTTAGAAACAAAAGCAGCCAAATGGGAGGCCAGCTGATCAACTATGCCGTGAACTTGGTGACTCTTCAGGTGGCTAGGGGTTTAGGGGTTTAGGGGTTTAGGGTTTAGGGTCTCCACCTGACCCCCAACATGACAACTGATTACGCATTTTTAGTAGAGAATGCAGGACCATATTATGTAGAGAAGTATGCTCTTATTCCGCAAGAACCAGTAAGACTTGACAGACATAAGTCTATATTGCGAGTAGCCTAAATCCAAAACCCTAGACAGTAGTTTCCATTTTCTTTTCCATTATAACCCTAAACCCTGAACCCAAAGGACTCTGCTGTATCGGGGACCCTCAGGCTAAATCCTGTGGCTCGCGTCACTTGACTAGGATCAAGCTACGTTACGAAGAACTTACTGAGGGCTAATAAAAAACAAGGGAATAAAATATACGGGGATTATATACGTATTATGTTCCTTTATTCCCTACTAACCACCCTAAACCCTAAACCCCAAATCCTATACTATATTCCCCTATTCCTCCCTGCTAAGAACCAGTAAGAGAAAAGCCAGGTGGTTGGGAGCGAAGGGACGACTGCCGTGGCAGCTGTTGGATTAGCCTTGGCCTTGTACAGCTGCCTCTGGGCAGGTTTAGGATTTAGGGTTGGGGTTGACCCTCGGCAATGGGTTTCGGGTTTAGGGTTAGGGTAGGAACTTCTTGGAGGGTCAGGGTGACTTGATAAGTAGGTTGATGTGGGGGAAAACTAGGGATACTATGGATTGCAGGGGTTATGAACCTACTGGCTAAGCCCCGCTGACCCTACAAGTACAGGGCGGAAGAAACCAATCTTAGATGCCAAGATGCGAAATGCGACTCCCAGTGTAGGTTCCTTTTGCTTTAAGTTGCTTACTTAGAAGGTCAGGAGGTCTTGGTGAGTAGGTCTATAACCCCAACAATCCATATCTCGCCTAGTTATCCCCTAGAGGATCCAACTTACTAAGTCTCCCTGACTCTATACCCTAAAACCATAGTAGTGTCCATTGTCTTTTCCATTCCTTACTAGATCCCTTTGACTCTCCAAGTACCACTTGCCGAGGCCTGGGCCGCAATCTCGTAATGGGACTATGTGGCGCCGTGGAGACTTGGTGTACTCTAAACCTAAACCCTATTGTGGTAGATTTTGGTAGATTATAGTATATTAGAGCATCCAGATCGTACTCTTTATTCCAGCATCCGATTATTAAGCCCTGAACCTCCAACAAGTGGACAGGCTCCATGAACCAGGGCCTCCAAATTGATTCAGTTCAGAAAGACGTCTCTTTTTGTGTGTGTGCGTCGTGAGTAAAAGAAAACTTCGATTTGCTTCCTACGGCTGCCATGCGCTCCGCAGTTGCTGTACCTGCTTGGGGAATAGCCCGGGTTGCTGTTAAGGAACTTAATTTAAGTTACTATATTGGGGAAACCATCTTATTTATTATGTCCACCTATTATGGTAACCTAATCTAAGTTCATTAATTAACAGCAACCCAGTAGCGCTTCGTTAGCGCGCATGCGCAGCTTTAACTGCTCATTGGCCCTGCAATAGGATTTTATAGGGACTATAAGTGCTGTATACATAGGGATAATGGAAACATTGGAAGCTGCTATTTAGGGTTAGGGCCTCCCAAAGTTAAGGAGTTGCTTCAGGTGAAAGGTTCCATCGCGGCTTGGAGTTAGGCTTGAGATTTTGAGGGTTGCCGGCTTCTCCTCTTTGGTGCTCCTCTTTCTTTCTGGCATATTTCCTGTGCATTCTTCTGTGCAGGCAAAAACTCATTCAGAGGTGCTCATTCCCTACTAAGCACCAGTTAGATGGATGATATCTCATCAAGGCTTAACATGTGGAATCCTTTGGGTACAAAAGTGTCTGTGTCCAAAGCCAGCTTCCCCAAAGGCAAGACCTCAGAAATGTCGGGTTTGCAGAGGAATCCCGCAACACGGCCAAGTGAGGATACGATCTCTTCGCAAGCAGCAGGTGCTGATCGAAAGGACCTGTTGGGGCCTATCTTTCGCCGCTCCTGTTTTTTCCTACTGCTGCGTGGTCAGGAAGTGGTATTGTTTTTGTACCGGATCGCCAGTCCAAAATTCTCAGGCTCCAACCTAAACCATGGGGGAGAACGTGGGGAGTAGGTTCAGTGAGGGTTTTGAGTTCCGGCGCCATGCTTTACATTCAGAGCTTCTATTGGCTGTAATTCGGGGGAAGGCCAGGATCGAATAGCAAGCCGATCTGTGAGGTTCGCTCAGAAGTACTCCAATCCCCTAGTGTTAAGCAAGCCAACGTTTAGTACTAGCCATGGTGTACATATGCGCTATCATCTTGATTATAGGGACTCTCCAAAAAGGCACCCCTAATTTGAGAAAAAGGTAACCCTAATTTGGGAACCCCCCCCCCCCACCCCAAATATACCAACTCGATGCACCCCCCTCTTCATTCCTCGCTAGCCGTGAGTCCAGTCGAAGGCTTCACTTGGTGCCATTCACCTTGCTGTGCCTCTCAGCATTGTGGTGGCTTCCGCTGGTTACGGAGCCTTCCATCGGGCGAACCACGGCCAGATTCTTGCTCTTGGCCATTCCTGATTCTCGGTTGCAGTTGGCAAGGGGCCGACTATTTATCCTCCCCAGGAAAAAGTATCTGCACCATAGACAGCCGAAGGTGCCTACAAACCTTCACGTTGCTAAGTCTTCTTGAGATGTTTAGTCTCAACATGAATGTTCATAGCTCCCCTGTTTTGCCCTTGGTAGCTCCCCCAAGCAGGTGTAGTGATTCTTGCAGCGTAGTGAGGATCTGGCAGCGCAGTGCATTTGGCGGCCAATGAACCGCGTGCTGGCCTCTCAGCGGATCACCTCGCCCTTCATGTTTGTGTCTCCTGGTTCAGGGGTCTGGGGCTGGTGGGGACGCCATGCTTCTCACCCTATTATACTATAGTAGTTTCCATTTTCTTTTCCATTAAAAGCTTATGCAGCTACATGGTAATCCAGGCTCCGTAGATGTAACTCAAGCAACCAAAAGGTCGTTGCTGGCCCTCTTCTGCCACTACGGGCTTCTTGTTCTGGCGGTTGCCCGCTTCGGGGCACTTGGCGCTGCGATAGCTACCTCCGTGAGTGGCTGGATGACCTTGGCCTTTGGCACCGCTGCTGTATGGATGGTAGGCGCAGGCCCAACGATTTGGGGAGGGGAGTCCACGGATTCAGCCATCAAACAAGCTGGAGCAGGCTGGCTATCCTTATCCAACTTGGCTTACCCCTCTGCAGCCATGCGAATTCTAGAGTCTTGCGGATTTTCGGGCATAGTGACCACAAGCTCATTGCTCCCAATGCCGAAGATCGAGTTGGACATAATGAGCCTGTCTCTGAACGTTTACGGCTTCCTATTTACGCCCTTTCCGGCTTTGTCCATTTGCACTGATACTCGCGCAACTTCCTCTTCATTCCATTGTAAATCTTTCATTCTGCTTTTCTTGCCTTTGGCTGAAAATTTATCACGAGATGATAGGCCCCTCCCAGTTGAAGTAACATACCATGCTTACCATCGTCTTAGCCTTATCTTCCCTATGCCCTGCACCTAGCCATTCTGCTCCCTTGTATAGTTTCGCTAAAGCACATATGGGTAGTTCTCAGAATTGCGGGCCCCTTTTGGTTTTAGGTTGCATTTACAGCACCTAATACTTAGGGGTACCGAAGTGGGACCCTAATTTTGGGAACTACCTATATATGCAAAAGTAACCCCACTCAGGTAGGGAATGCCATCGGAAGGGGTGCTGCAGCAGAGGCGAAGCGGGCCATGCTGGTGTCAGCTATACTCTCCATCCCTTTTGCCGCAGCTGTTTCCATGGTGGCTGGGCTTTGCACTGTTCTTCGTGTTGTTGCGTTTTAGGCGGGTACAATTCCCAGGGGTTCCAGCATGCAGCGCAAAATCAGCATTTAAAGATCCTGTCTTTGAGCGCACAGAGAGAGCAACACCTCGCAACGCAGTGAGCTCGCCAGCATGAGGTGCTCAGTGTTGGGAGCTCCGGAGCTCCACCAACATCACAAGATGCAATCAAAATTGTGACATTGCTTGAGTTGCCCAAGACGGAATCCATACATTCCTTCATGCCAACCATGCCGAGGTCTTGGTCATTCCGCAGTGCAGGCAGCTGGTTGATGTTGTCATGCACGTAGACACCTTGGATCCACGAGTGAAGACCGGCTTGAACACCATCTACCTCATCCTGGTCAGTGGATTCTACTACATTGATGGCTTCCAGACTGCGTTGTCAGGTGCCATCCGTGGCACAGGGCAGCAGCAAAAGGGCGCTCGCATATGCGTGCTTGCATACTGGATTGCAGGCATTCCTGCCGCGATCCTCTTGGGCTTCACCGGTGGCTTGAAGAGTACAGGCTTGTGGCTGGGCATGTTGGTAGGCCCTACTGTGCAGATGTTTCTGTACGGCCGACTGCTGCTTAAAATGGATTGGGAAGGCATTGCCGCCGCCTGCGAAGAACGGCTGCAAACCCAGGAAGATGATTGCGTGATGGAAGCATAAAAAGTTGGAGCTGGCTCCATGCCATGGTGGTGCTAGCCTGTACAGTGTACAGATTAATCTGGCATGTTTTGCTGAACATCTTTTGCCTTGCTGCCAGAGGCAAATATCTTGGTGCACTGGCCTTCTACTACCCTTAGTTCTGGTGATTGCGGCCAAGTGCAGAATGATTGCAAGCAACATTCTAGCGCCTCGTGGAGCCTTGTCAAATTCCGTTTGCTGGTGTTATTTTGATGCGGTGGGGGAGCAGGGCTAATTGAAACTCATCTCGGAATTCTATGATGAATTGGGTCGATCAGGCACAAGATATGCAGCGAGCAAGGCGCTGAGTAAGGCTCACACCTTCACATTCCAGCACTGCACTTGCAACCGGGCTAACATACACAGAACCAGGTAAGTCATCAGTATTGCTAGCAGATAAGGACAGAGAAATGTGCAGGGATTGCTATGGCGAACGCTGCGGGCCTACATGCGTTTGGCATTATAAGTGCATCTCTCAGATCACTGGAAACCATTCCTTTACCACCGCCCTGAACCCCAAGACGTGATCCCTGAATCTGGAATCCTACACCTTCAACGCTACACCCCGAAACCCTATCGAGCAGTAACTTGCGAAGCCTAAGGTAGAATCCCCAAAGCCTACTTGGAGGGTCAGGGGACTTAGTAAGTAGCTTCATAATCCCCATCACCCATATGGTAGCCCTAATAATCCCCATGATTAACCTACTTACTAAGTCTCCCGGACCCTCCGAGTACATCCTCAATCCTAAGCCGTAAGCCTTGGAATTAAGCCCAGGTCCATCCGAAGCTCAACTCACCAACCCTGCTATGGGCATAGTAGCAAAAGAAGTAATATTAGTAGTGATGGTAGTCAAAGTAATAATAGTAATAATAGGAATAATGGTAATAATCGTACTGGTAATGGTATAATAGTTATCTAGTTATAGGTATAATAATGCCCTAAACCCGAACTAGCCATCCTTACACCCTGAACCCCGAAGCCCTGAGCCCTCACCACCAATCCCTACCCTCAACCCTAAACCCTAAATACTACGTCCTAAACCCCCTAAATCCTAAACCCACTAAGCCCTCAACCCTAAACCCTAAATCCTAAACCCTAAATCCTAAACCTAAATCCTAAACCTAAATCCTAAACCCCAAACTGTAAAACCCCAAACTCCAAAGAGATAACCCACTAAACCCTAAACCCCAAATCCTGAACCTAAACCCTAAACCCTAAACTGTAAAACCCCGAACTCCAAAGAGATAACCCCTAAACCCTAAACCCTAAACCCCAAATCCTGAACCTAAACCCTAAACCCTAAACTGAACCCCCAAACTCCAAAGAGATAACCCCTAAACCCTAATCCCCTAAACCCTAAACCCTAAACCCTAAACCCCTCAACCCCCTAAAGCCTTAGCCGTCGCCAAGGCGCAGCTCAATCCTTTCCAGCCGCCGCCATCCCTGGATCTTCCGCCGGGCCATGCAGTAGGTGCGCCTGACTTAGGTCTACGGGGTGTGGGGACACATACATATACATACACATACATATACATGTACCTATACCTATACCTATACCTATACCTATACATATATATATATACATATGTATATACATACATACATACATACATACATACAGATGAGAATGTAGATAGATATGGGCATAGGTTTCAGAGAGGGAGTACCTAGGGAGTATGTAGATGGATAAAGCTCAGGATTTGGAGTTCAGGTATAGGGTGAACGGTCAAGCTTTTGGGCTTTGGGCTGGGGTTCGGGGACTTGACTCTCGGAGTGACAGACGGGTGTCGCAGGGTTGTAAGAAGGGTCATGCAGGCTGTTGCAGGGATGGGTGGAGATTCTTCAACTATCCAAAGCACTGGAGCGCAACAATTTTTGGGCGTTTGCTGCCATTCAGGGTGGTCCCTATGTGCCTCTCCATGTGTGTAAGGTTGCAGTTGTGGCCACCAGAGCGGATTGAATACAGGCAGGCACATAGCTAAGCTTGTGTAGCAGGTCGTTTTCCAGCTGCTGGAAGGCTGCGACATCAAGAGCGCCCTTGAACCCACCACTTTGATCACATCCCAGGGGCGAGCGTCATGACATTTGAAAGATGGCGCACTGACAACATGCGTATTTGACAAGCACAAAGCTCCCAGCTGAAGGGTCTAGGGGTATACCCCGATGAAATCCCTATAACCCCCTACATAATCTCCATATAACCCCATACACCCCTGTAGAGCAATACGATGCCTCCAAGCAATCTTGGGGGGTTCCTAAAACACTGCGTCCTCTTGGGGCTTGGAGACGGAGATGATGTTCTGCCCGAGGATATAGGGTGAGGGTTTATAGTGCGTCACAGGAACTTTAGGATACTTAGTCCCCCTGAAGTAGCTAGAATATGGGATGTATGAGGATTTTATTGTTGTTTTGTGCAATTCCATATTCTATCTACTGAAGCGGGACTACAACCATTTCGGAGAACATATATGGAATTCCGGCAATCGCGCTTTGGGAATCCCGTTTGTTTGCTCTCGCTTGAACAATCTTGCTTAAGCTTGTGGCGAAAGGCTTTCAATCCAGCAGGCCAGGGAGTACCATCTTGCATCCACAGGCCCTTACCCAACTCCATTGTAGCTTTCTCGTTCAGAGGCCCAAAGTGTCTTCCAGCTGCTCCAGCCAGCCTAATCCCTAAGCCCTAAACCCTAACTCCTACCCGATGGCTAATCCATAGAGCCTAGTCCTCATCCCTACACAGACCAATCCCTGAGCCCTAGTGCTTTACCGGGTGGCTGTCAAGGAATGAAGATTAAGTTACCATAGTATGGGTATCTGGTAAATTAAAAAGGTTTCCTTGCTATAGTAACTGAATCCTTAAGATTAAACAAATCCCCCTAATATTAAGTAACTATTTCAAGGGCTTAGCAATCCTATATTAATGTCAGTACTATTATTAATATCATTACTATAATTATACCTATTGTTATTATATTATCGCAGCTTAACTTAGGCTTCTGAATGGCAATCCAGTTTAGACCTCTATGCTCCCGCGATCTGCTGCTCAGCTCAAGCACTCCAGTCAGATGCAGCCGGGGCTGAAGAGGACTCCGGGAGGTCAAGCACTTATGCCCATGCTATATAAGGATAATGGAAAAGAAAATGGAAACTACTATAGTATATGGGTTAAATTGGGGTTACATAGGAAGAATGGAAAAGAAAATGGAAACTACTGTTTAGGGTTTAGGGTTCAGCCTGGAGCTTTAGCCTGGAGCTTTTAGGCTTTGAGGATGCAAGGGCCTCTGAAGGTAGCTGTCTCCCTCGGGATTTAGAGGGGTTTAGGGTCAAGACTGCGTTTCAGGTTGATGGGGTTAAGGCTGAAGGTTTACTTGAGGCTTTTTGCGGGTTGAAGTTCTGGGGGCTATCAGAACAAGGGCGTTTCGCAGCTTGTCTTCATCCATCTGCCTTCGATAAGGGATAAGCCATAAGTATAACCCCAAGAAGAGTCCCCGGGGCTGGGGCATTGGAAGTCGAGCCATCCACCCAGGTGAATTCACACATGGTTTAGGATTTAGAGTTCAGGTTTTAGGGTTTAGGGAAATGAGGATGTCTTTCGTTCTTTTTAAACGGACTGTGATTTACTTGGAGAGGAATCTGCCAGAAAACAGTAAGGCGCTGCTAGTTACCCCAACCCCTAACATTCGGACCCAATTGTAGCTATAAGATAGTTATACAGTCCTTGTGGTAGCCGAAATCCCCTTATTGGACATGTAATGTTGCAACATTGCGTGTCAGATGTCCTCTCTCAATTGCAACGACTGGCTGGACCAGAAATAATTGTCGCAGTACCAGTAGTGCAAGGTTGCAGTAGCAGTGAAGAACCCTCGGGTGATGTGGGTAGCATGTTATTGGGGATGCTAAGGTCCCAACATAGAGTACGATGGAATCCTCCTTTTAGCTATATTATATTTTCACAAAAATATGGTAGTTTCCACACACAGCGGGGGGGCCAACATAGACGCCAGAATGTGATAGTCCTTGTGAATGGCAGCCCCAAAATGGTACCGCTAATTCTGAGAAACCCTGATCCATACAAACCCTTATAATCCTAATTTCCATCTAGGTGTCCATTTTCTTTCCACTTGATCGTCCATAGTCGGGATCATGTACCTTTTTAATCGCCATACCACAGCTCCTATATAGCCTTACCTGATTCAATAATTTGAATATCAAACTTCCGGAAAAGGTCCAACAAAAAAAACAAAAATCATGTTTACGGCAGGAGGGTGCAAGCTCTGGGACCGACCCCAAGGACCTGCGGTATGGGGTTTCCCCACATCAGCGGTACCTTTTGAAGTAGGGGTAGTTTTATAGGGTTTATACAGGGTTTAGGGTTTCCCAAATTAGGGGTGCCGTTTCGGGGTCCCTATAAGGAGGATTGTGGTATTGTGGGGTCTGCTTGGGGACCCCTAGATGGGGTTTCATAAGGGTCCTGTAAGGATTATGCAGGGGTATATAGGGGCTAAAGAAAGGGTTCTACAAGGATTCTGCAGGGGTATATGGAGGTTATATGGCGATTCTGTAGGGGTTATGCGATATGGGGATTATGTTGGGGAATATGGGGCTGAGAGCTTTGATTCGAGCTGTTCTCATGGGACACCCCACCCCCTAGTAGAGACTGTTAGGTCTTGTTGGGCTGTGGTGTCCTTGGAGGTCGCCATGGCCCTATTGGGGATAGTGGTTATTCCCATGATGTTTTATGGGTGCTTAACGAGGAGTGGGGGAGGGACCATTATAGAATTCAGGTGTCAATTAAGTCAAAGTCCTTGCCATTTGCAAGTTCGGCTGGCTTACGCCGCAGGCAATGTTCAAAGTCATGGTGCAGGCGCTGACACCCAAAAAGCCGAGCTACCTGAGTTTGTTCATGTGGTCACTTGGAGGGTCAGGGGGACGGACTTAGTAAGTAGGTCAATTTTGGCTGATAACTAGAGACACCTATATGGGC